TTAGACTAATTCTAGGATATTTTAACAATACAAGAAAAGAAAAATGAAAATGAATAAAGATAAATTCGTTCAACGTTTCAATAAACAGTTTTTCCAATAAATATGAGAAGTCGATTCTTAATTTTTTTCATTAAAGACATCGAAGTCTGAGGAAACTTTATTAACGAAAAAATGAGGTCTTTAAATACGTTTTTCTATCCTATAAACTACTGCGCAAAGACTTTTATTTTCTTTTAAACTTTGGTAAGGCTTTCCCAGCAATGCTCTATGGGCTGTTACAACCCGTTACTCATAATAATCGTCTCAATATTTGCTACAATTCTTGTGCCAAATATTTACTGCAATTCTTGTGCCAAATATTTACTACAATTCTTGGGCCAAATATTTACTTCAATTACTAGCCCCTCAGCTTCACAATGATTCATAATGACTAAATAAACAATGATAATAAAATGAAAAAAAAATAAATAATAAAAAAATTATAAAGTAAACTATTGGAACTTCTATGCCTTTCTAAATCTCGTGATGCAAAACCCGTAACACTATTTTGAAACGCGCATGCACCCTATTTTGAGTCAAAATGTGATTTTTTTTTGAAATCCTGTACTATATTCAAAATAAAGCACATGGGCATATTATTAATTAGTTGATTACTCTTTCTTTTTTAGTAATAACCGAAATTGAGAAAATATTTCTGGTCCTTTTACTCTTACGTACTGTACATATGTACATACATATTTATATAAATTAATTGATTAACACTTTGCATACTATCTGCTATGGAGTTGACTTTTGTACGTACATGTAGAATTGGACATAGAAGATACCAATAATAATTCTCTAGTAGTTGCTGAAAGTAGTGAAGAAGCATTTTATGATGAGATGATTATTGATGAAGAGATGTTTGATAACGATGAAGATATGTTCGATGATGATGAAAATATGTTTGATTATAATGGAGAAAATATGATTGATTATAATGGAGAAATGTTTGATGAAGAAATAGTTGATATAGAAATAGTTGACCAAGAGGCATTTGACGAAATAATAGATGATGAAGGGTGGATTAATTAAAATATCACGAATAATAGTAGATGATTAAGGGTGAATTAATTAAGCATCACAAACTGAGATCATAAGCTTACATTAAATTACACAGTCAATATTAGGGTTCCTACAAACCCAAATCAAATCAAACTTTAGGCCAAGTTTGGGTTTGATTTGATTTCAAATCAAACCCGATCTCAAACTAGTATTTAAAAAAATTATTTGAGTTTGATTTGAAGCAAACTTTTTAGTTAAATTTGAGTTTGATTTGGGTTTGATTTGAAGTTTGCAAACTAGTTTGAGTTTGAATAATATAAATATATTTTTAAATTTTAAACAAGTTTCTTAATTGTCAGCTAATCAAAATTGCCCAATAATAAAACTATATAAAATTTTTTTAATTAAAAATATAAAAATAATATTTTTTTATTAACCTCCGGCTATGATTTTCTCTATAACTACTAAACCAAATTGGATGAAATTTTTACCAGAGATAGGAGTGATAATGGGCTACAACAAATTAAAATTTCAGCCCATTTGGATTAGTAGTTCTTGGGAAATCGTTTAAAAACTTTAAGTAATTTTTTAATATAATTACTTATAGTTTCTAAGCAATTTCTCAAGAACCACTAATCCAAATTGGCTGAAAGTTTAATATGTTGTAGTCCAATATCACTTCTATCTCCGGTAAAATTTTATCCAATTTGGATTGGTAGGTGTAGAGAAATTTACATCCGGAGGTAATATAAATCTCAATTTTTAATATAATATATATATATATTATATATTGTATTATAAATTAAGATTTATATTACCTCCGGCTGTGATTTTCTCTACAACTACCAATCCAAATTAGATTAAATCTTAACTGGTGATAGAAGTGATATTGGGCTACAACATATTAAACTTTCAGCCAATTTGGATTAGTAGTTGTTGAGAAATTGCTTAAAACCTATAAGTAATTATATTAAAAGAATTACTTATAGTTTTTAAGCAATTTTTCAAGAACTACTAATCCAAATTGTCTAAAATTTTAATATATCATAGCCCAATATCACTCCTATCTCTGGTAAAAATTTTATCCAATTTGGTTTAGTAGTTGAGAGGAAATCATAGCTGGAGGTTAATAAAAAATATGATTTTATTTTTTTATTTTTTTTTTTTAAGGTAAAATCTTGCCTTATGTTATTTATTAAATATTTACGTATATCAATTACATACATTTATACAACAATTAATAGAACAGTGGCTTAGACTAATTATCTATGATCTATACCTACCAGAGCTG